TCTTGTATTAGCAGTGTTTTCAAACCAAAAGCATCGTTGTCAATCATAACAGTAGTAGACAAAGCGCAAATTAAAAACCTAAGAAAAATATTATATTGATACACACAAACAATGGTCGTTAAATTACCTGGGCTCTTTGTTTTTGTTTCTTGAGTTGAGCATTGCTTAGATAGTGTCACCTCAGTAGTTGGATTTCCGTTGGGGAGGAAAGGGTAACACAGTCTTTTTATATTAATTTTAATAGACTAGTGGCTACTATTGCTAAGCATTAAAAATGCCGGATAAAAAGTAAATACCAGCTTAAACAGTGGCTACCCCACGCCATTTCTACCTTATTTTAAGGCATGATGAGCCAAATGATTTTAAAAAATGAAGCAATCAAATACAGCTATAAAAGAGAGGAAAAGAAATTGCTATTGTCTAAATAAAGTCGCAGGGCTAATTGTCATCTGACAGATATATCGTCTAATTTTGTTATTCGTATTGAGAGAATTACACAAAAATACAGTCCACAATAACCCAGTTACAACTTTGCAAATCTGTAGCCCATTAATAATAGGCCAAAGTTTGAAAAATAAGCATTTTTTTTATTCTGTATATCTTCAAACACGAAACTTCGGTGATTTTTTATTCTTCTTCCCCAAGTTTTATATATTCCTATTCCAGCTACAAAAATTCAAATTCATATATAATGCAACTTGAAAATCTTAAATTTTCTTCTTTTCCAAGTTCCAAATAGCATAAATAAAAAATAAAAATTAAAAAAATTATTGCACGCTCATGATTTTGCAAATAAATCAACAATAAAAGTCGATTTATACATAGATTGAACATATAAAATTTTAATTTTAGATTTAACTACACATGTGCATTACATGTATAATGATGTATAACTTTGTATAAACTTGTATATACAATCTCTAATAATGTATATCAGAAAAATAAGACAAAGAAGAAGAAAAGAAGAAAGTGTCAAACATCCATGGATGCCTATTATACACATACAATGTATATACATACTTATACATTAAAAATATATCTAATTTATACAACATTGTACTTTTATATACACACGTATACATATTTATACAATATTGTATAAGTGTGTATAAACACTACCTATACAAATTTACACCAGAAAACACCTTCTGTCCATCACCACATTACAGTTTTCGGTGGTTGCTGGTGTTGAATTTTTCCGGCAAGGTTTTGGCATTCAAATCTGGGCTTCACCAGTAGCAAAGGCTGAAACAAAAACTAAGAGAAATAAGAAAATATGAGACGAGGTCGCCGGAGATGCTCTTTTAGG